CATGTAGGTGTCCATGGTTGTCAAGGAGTAAGCGGGCTTTTTCATATAACAATTTAAAGCATGTTATTTTCCCTTGACCCCTTGATGACCCACACAAATGATAGGGCTGATTTTGTAAATGGATGAAACCACTCCTGAACTCAATGTGTCGTATACTGAATTAAACTATTCTTGTTTTAAATAAACTCGGGATTTGTCATTTCGAAATATTGCAGCATGAGATAAGGGGATGGGGAACGCAAAATGTGCAGATAGCTTTGCACGTGCAGCAACCCAAAGCGCATCCATTTGTGGCGCGAGATTTCAATCCCAAGGGATGAAAGGCGCGGGGCAAATGTTCTGAAGTCATTGCCAGTCAAGCCGCATTCATGGAACTCCGCACCTCTTTGACACATTTTACCATACCTGTCTCATCTCTGCTAGGGACGGGAACTCAGTGAAGAGTGAAGATGATGAAAAATATACATCAGGTGAATTTGTTGAAATATAAAGATAAACCAAAATTGACAGGTAGCTTGGTGGTTAAGAGCGTTGTGCCAGTAACCCTAATTGCTCCTGTAAATCGCTCTGGATAAGAGCGTCTGCTAAATGACCAATTTATTATTTTTTAAAATTTATAGTTAGCTAGTTAGCCACAGTTTTCACTTCCATGCGGCTAGCTAGCTACCGCCACACAACCAACCTCTACGGGGAATATATAATAATATGCCATTTAGCAGACGCTTTTATCCAAAGCGATTTACAGTCATGCGTGCATTTTTTTTTTGTGTATGGGTGGTCCCGGGGATCGAACCCACTACCTTGGCGTTACAAGCGCCGTGCTCTACCAGCTGAGCTACATTTTTCTTCAGCTACCACAATGTATCTTTGTCTTTGAGTTTGTTATCCCAAATAATCGTTTGTTTTGTGTTAGGTTTTACGGTCACTGATGTTGCTGGCGCGTTGGGGGAGGGAACGGCTAGAAAGGTCCTTAGTCGTAGATGGAGGGGGACTACTGGTCCTGTTGTGGGCCACGCCCGGCCAGCCACCCAGCGGCCAGGCGGTCAACTGCACAGGTATGGACAGGTCTGAATTACCTAGAAGCTTTTATAAATCATTTAAAAAAACATGAGGTTAGACTAGCCGTGGGTCTAGGTAATGTCTTCTTTGTACAGTTGCAGCTGCAGGAACCTGGTGCTCAGGAGTCCCAGTGGAAGAAGTCCAACAAGGTGGGTTGTGAACTACAAAGGGTATGAATGGTTTAGGCACATGGTAGTACATATATTACACAGAAGGTTGAGATAAGTTGGTCCTGTTTTGGGTGACTTCGTGTCACACACACACACTTTAACTCACAACTGTGCCCGCAGCTTTGTGTTTAGGCTTTTTAGTATATGTAAGAAGTCAGGCCCTTTAATGTGTCTTGGCTTTCTGTCTGTTTGCCAACTGAGTTCCTGTGTTTATCTTCCCCTCTAATGGATTGTGTTAGAGTTCTGGCAGAGACTGGGCCCCTCTGCCTCCCCATGCCCTGCCCCTGACCCTGACCCAGAGGAACTGTGTGCCTTCACCGAAATCTACGGCCCTCTCCACTTCCTTCTCTCCCTCCAGGTGGGTGAACTACAGTACCCTGTAGTGTTTTAGTATAAATAAATACAATCTAAGTATAATGTTATAACATAGATACAACGTAAAACGTGTCCTGATACACAGGTTAAATACCCACTCCTTGCAGTGAGGGGTTTGAGTCAAGTTTGGACAATTGTTTTGCAAATACTGTTCAGTATATCGGGCATTAACCACATTTCCATAATTTAGCATTGAGTATGTATGATTATGCAAAGAGGCGTTCGGTGCATTTAGCCTATTATTATCATCAGAATGACCTAAATATTTAGAAATGTTTACATTCTTCAGTCGTTTTGAAATGCCATCCAGTCCACTTGTCATGACTTCCTCCGAAGCTGCCTCCCCTCCTTGTTCGGGCAGGCTTCGGCATTCGTCGTCACCGGCCTTCTAGCCACTGCCGTTCCTCATCTCATCATTCCATTTGTTTTGTCTTGTTTTTACACACACCTGGTTCATATCCCCTCATCAGCCCCTGTATAAATATTCCCTCTGTCCCCCATGTCTTTGTGTGTGATTGTTTCATGTGGATAGCTTGGTGGAGCTTTATGTACTGTATCGCCTGGTTATTCACCAGTGTGTTTTGTTTTTTTCCAGTGCAATAAACCATTTATTCTGTGATGAACACCTCCTGCGCCTGACTCTGTCCAAATCGCCCGCTACACCACTCAACACGGCTTGTTATGTACACATTATTATGTTCAGACAGGGGCCTTGCTGACAAACTCATTTAGTGTGTGATGACGTTAACAATCCAACTGCTAATTTCAAACATAGTCATTCTTTCAACACTATCTGACATTAACATTACCTTGCTACCACCTCTCAACAGATCCCCTCTGCAGTGACACTGTGTACAGTATAGACAGAGCACAGTGTCAGGAAACTGAGCCAGAATGGATCCCCGCTGTGGATCAGACCCTCTCTCTGTTCCTGTTCCTCCAGCACAGTGACCCCTTCCACTCCCAGCTCTCTGACTTCATGGGTGAGGAAATAAACTCAACAAACAAAACCTCTGCTTTAGTTACCCTGACTGATGAAGCTGTGGTTCACTCAACGATAAGATTAGTCTATGTCTTACCACAGGCTTGTTTCAACACAATATGATTTATCAGACAGTTACAGCTCACTGTGCTCAGGAGATAGGAAGCAGACCACAGTCAAACTCCTGTTTGTCTCTTAGTTTATGATTGGAGTGTTTAAATTTGAAACCCAGTGTTGCATTATAGTGTTCTGATGTGATGAGTAATCAAAAGAACAGCACCGTTGGAGTGGCATATTTGTGATTACCCATATACCAAATGTATTACCTGTCAGCACCCTTTCTTTAGAAGACCAGTTCAGTGACCTCATTGTTATTTTAATCGTGCATTCTGACATTCGAAGCAATTTTGGTTCACTCCAGGGTGACATTGCAAAAATATAAATTTACATTGTCTTTCATCTCATCACAGTGGTTTGGCTGAAAGTTACATGTTTCCCTGTAGCCAGCGAGGAGCTGTTAGAGCTCCACCTGGAGGATGTGTTGAGTTACAACAGGGAGGTGGTAACAGCAGCCCTGAACACGCTGCTGCAGAGCACACTGAAAGACCAGCAGCAGAGAGACAAGGCAAGCACTCTGTACTCGGAGTCTATACACACTCACCCACTTACACAAGCAGGCATACTAACACACACACACACTCAGACACACACACACACACACACACACAAAAAGCACTATGTACTCTGACTCTATCTATACACATTGCACAAAATTCACTATCAGAGATTCTCATCTAATCAATTTATGTATGGCATTTCCCACACCTATGTACATGTTTGGATGACTGTCTGTCTGTCTTTCTGTCTCTCTGCCTGCTTGTCTGTCTCTCTGGTGTTCTCTCTGTGTGTCTGTAAGTCTCTCTGCTTACCTGTCTGTCTCTCTGCCTCTCTGTCTGTCTCTGTCTGTCTGTCTGTCTTTCTCTCTGTGTGTCTGTCAGTCTCTCTGCCAACCTGTCTGTCTGTCTCTGTGTGCCTGCCTGTTGGTCTGCCTGCCTGTCGGTCTGCCTGTCTCTCTGTCGGTCTGCCTGCCTGTCTGTCGGTCTGTAAGGCTCAGGAGAAGATGTGGTCTGCCCTGGGGGTGATGCTGCGATCTATAGGCTGTGTGGTGAGCAGCAGCACCAACATGGAGTTCAGAGCTGCCTGTCTGGGCCGCATGATGGTAGCTACATAACTACTGCAACTACTGTACTGTGACAGAGCCTGATCAATACATTTAGATCGATTTCACAGTATGTGACTGGTGACTCACTGTGTGTGTGTGTGTGTGTGTGTATTAGGTGCAGGACACCTATGAGCTGTCAGCCTCTCTCCATGACTCTCTACAGGTGTTGAGTTGAGTCCAGTGTATTATGCTAGGGCCCTTTTTTGCGCAATCATGTGACATAGCAAGATTTTAACCTTTATTTGAAACCTTATCCAGAGATGTGAATTACACCAGAAAATAAAGCAGTTGTCTGAGGATGGAGCTGGACCATCTGACATGAAAAGAAAAGGGGACAGTTTGATGAAAAAGCTTTAAATAAAGCTTAAAATCCAGGCATGCCATATGATTGGGCAAAACACAGGGCCCTAAATGATGGCATATTATCATGACTTATGATACAGTACTTGTGGAAGTCCACTGATAAATGTTGCCATGTAAACATTTCATAAAATGATATGTTGTGTTATCATGATAAGTGGCCAAGCCTAACACTATGGCTGTGTTACTGCTTTGAAATGTTCCATATTGTGCTGGAGTTGAGTATTATAAATACCCTTGTAGCCATGGCATGTGAGCATATGATTTACTAGTCCTATGTTTACATTTTAGTCATTTAGCAGACACTCTTATCCAGAGCGACTTACAGGAGCAATTAGGGTTAAGTACCTTGCTCAAGGGCACATAGACAGATTTTTCACCTAGTCAGCTCGGGGTTTAGAACCAGCGACCTTTCGGTTACTGGCACAACGCTCTTAACCACTAACTACTGTGTTCCTTAGGCGGACAAGCTCACCTGCAGCAGACCTTCCAAAAACTTTGCAAGTGGGAATGAAATCTGAACATGCTGACATTTCCGTTTTCTTGTATCACTCAATTCATTGTATTTGTTTTGGATTGTATATTGTGATATTTATTAAGTGCAATATAGATATGTATTTTTCTATGATATGAAGGTAAATTAAAACTGGAAGACACACCGAGACATTATTTTGACCATTTCTTTTTTCCTCGGTATTCATGTATTTTATGGATAAAAAATTAAGCGCCACTATCAAAAATAAACAGTAGATGGCAGTGCAGTTTAGCAAACACCCCTAGATTATCTAGGTTTTGTAGCTCTATGTTTGATCTGTGACGTATAATCCGGCCGCCAACATCTGCGACGAAATTTCGCGGCAAAATATAGTCGATGAGAAGTGTACGGGAAAAGTAATGGTATTTTGCCAGCAGCTATTGTTATTGATTAAGTTATCGTTGTATGTTGTTTAACTGTTAGCTAGTCAACTTTTAGTTGGTTGTTAGCATATTGGAATCATATTAATGATGTCGGAGGTGATAGCAAGGCTGTTAAAATAGCTAGCAGGCTAAGAAACTATCACAACATTGTTCTTGGCAGCAGGTGGCTGATCGCTCTTGCTAACTAGATTTTTTTATTTGTCGTTTTTTTTCTTATTAGGTATTACACACGTTAATTAGCTCAGTTAATTAGTTTTATAAAATGGCATTAGTAAATGCAGATAGCATCAAATCGGAGCTGGAAATGTTCGGCATTTCTTGTGGAGACGAAGACATAATATTGGACAAGAGTAGGTGCAATTTTCTTCTGCCCTCAGACTTATCCCATTAAGATAGCTAACGAACTTGCTTTGCGAATGTTTTGTTAGCCAAATTACCAGTGATCTTGGCATGCTCTACTTCTCTCCCAGTGTTGGAGCAGTGTCTGTGCAACAGGTTGCAGGGGAATGAGATAGTCCTGGAGTGGGTGGCTTTCAGCACCACCAAGGGAGGATTGAAACTCAGTTTGAACACACTGGAGCAGTTTGAGCATGAGGTGGGAGAAAGAAAGACCCATGACCCCTTTCTCACTCTCACACGCACTCGCTTGGTGTTCATTGTTGCATGTCTGGTCTTGGTGTGTTGCAGGTTCTAAACAAGAAAAACAAGGCCAAACCGGGCATCGCAAAGCGAGAGGAATCACTCAACAGAACCAGGGATATCAACTCGCTGCAGGACCTGTATCCACAATCTCTACCTCAGTGTTATGTTTCGCTTAGGATTGATGAATAACTATTTCAGTGTGTTTATATGTATGACAGTTGGAACAATACAGGACTCTGGTGGTGTCCCTTAACTTTGCCTTTCCAGGATCAAAGCTGAAGAAGAAGAGGAGAGTCTTCTGGACACCTATTCCACCCCAGCTAAGGTATTTTACACATACTCACCGGCCAGTTTATTAGGTACACCCATCTAGTACCGGGTTGGACCCCCCTCCCCCCTTGCCTCCAGTGGTGTGCCTGATAAACTGTCCGGTGTGTATGTCTCTGTGCGAATGCTCCTTTCGTTGAGGTGTCTGTTTGTTGGTATTGTATGTGCTGTACAAAGCATTATCTCTGCTCTGTGTGTTTTTAGGGGTCTCAGAAGCGTGCCCTGACCACCCCAGAACACCCCCAGTCTAAGAGGAGTGCAGCTCTCATAGCCAGCCCTGGCCTGCTGCTGTGCCCAGCCAGCTTCTCCCCCAGGTACACCACACACACACACACACACACACACACACAACTACAGACACTATATATACAAAAGTATGTGGACAGCCCTTCAAATGAGTGGATTCTGCTATTTCAGCCACACCTGTTGCTGACAGGTGTAAAAAATCGAGTGCACAGCCATGCAATCGCCATAGACAAACATTTGCAGTAGAATGGTCCTACTGAAGCTCTGTGACTTTCACAGTGGCACTGTCATAGGATGCCACCTTTCCAACAAGTCAGTTCCTGTGTTCCAAACTGCCTCTGGAAGCAACGTCAGCACAATAACTGTTCATGTGGAAGAATTTGACTGGCCTGCACAGAGCCCTGACCTCAACCCCATCGAACACCTTTGGGATGAATTGGAACGCCGACTGCGAGCCAGGCCTAATCGCCCAACATCAGTGCGCGACCTCACTAATGCTTTTGTGGCTGAATGGAAGCATGTCCCTGCAGCAATGTTCCAACATCTAGTGGAAAGCCTTCCCAGAAGATTGGAGGCTGTTATAGCAGCAAAGGGGGGACCAACTCCATATTAATGCCCGTGATTTTGGAATGAGATGTTCGACAAGCAGGTGTCCACATACTTTTGGTCATGTAGTGTACATGGATACACCGCTACAATCATCTGTGAATACACACTCACTCACTCACCCTTATCCCCAAATGTGTGTCCTCCTCTCTGCAGTGTGACCCCCTCTCAGAAGTACAGTCAGCGTGGAGGTCGGGGGGAGGTGGTGTCTACATTCGGGGCCGTCCAGGGCACACGTTGGGCGGGGAGGAAAGGGCAGCAGAACGGTGTTCAGCTGGAGCTCCTGGAGGGATCAGAGGACTCTCTGATTGACAACTACAAGTACATGTTCCAAAGGCTGAGGGACGTCCGCAACGGTAGGCAACAAAACTACAACTACGGTAGTTATTTTAAACATCTTTATTGGATTATAGTAGAATTGTGATGACACAACTACTTCCTTATCCATCATTAATCTTGACTGTTAGATCAGTCCATTTCATTTTTTATGTGCCGACGTGAATGTTGTCTTTTGTCTTTGCCAGTGTTGACAGAGAAGATTGAGGAGCTGGGAGAGGAACTGAGGACAAACTTCAACATAGAAGAGTTCTCCCCTGTGTCTCTACCTGCTCAGGTACTTACAGGCAGCTCACTCTGCCTCCCAGTCACTCACACAGTATGTTCCCTCCTGTTCCCCCAGTTACTTTCAGTGCTGTGTGTGGGTATGTTTGTTAATTTCTCTCCTGCTCTCTCTCTCTCTCTCCCTCTCTGTAGGACAGTGTGACTGTACTGGGACAGGTGTGCTGTGACAGTAATGGGAAGCTTAACGCCCAATCAGTGCTGTTGGAGGCAGGGCCTGATCAGGGTGGGCGGCAGGTGCCAGTAGACCTGTCTGAACTCAGAGAGTACTCACTCTTCCCTGGACAGGTGGTCGTCATGGAGGGGATGAATACCTCGGGGAGGAAGTTGGTGGCATCTAAACTCTATGAGGTTAGTGGGATTCCTCTAAAACACCTTTGTTCGATTTCCTGGATCCTGATCAAGCCTATTCCAGGACTAAAAGCTCTGATGGAGATTCTCAAGCTGACCAGTATGACTTCTAAGTTCTTGTTTCTTTGTTTAATTGTTTGATATTTTCTGTCTCTTAGGGAGTCCCTCTCCCATTCTACTCTAATCCCATTAAACAGGAAATGGACATGGACATTCCTGATGGTAAGGAAGGGAACTATGAGTATACACCACACACACACCCTAATGTCCCTGCTCTAACACATTACCAGAGCAGCTGATGGTAATGGTGGCCTGCGGCCCCTACATCCCCCCGACAGCTCTCTTAGGCACACACTCACACACACCCTAACGTCCCTGCTGTCCCTCAGTACCAGAGCAGCTGATGGTGATGGTGGCCTGTGGTCCCTACACCCCCTCTGACGGCCTGATCTTTGACCCCCTGGTGGACCTCATCAACATCATCGTCAGGGACCGCCCTGACGTTTGCATACTGGTCAGTATCAAGAGGTCTCACTCACTGACCCACTTTTTTGCTCTCTGACTAAAGTTTGAATGTTTGTCCCTCACATCTCCTCTCTAACCCACAGCTGGGACCCTTCGTGGACTCCAAACATCAGCAGATAGAGGTACCTTTTCCTTCTCTCTGTCTTGGCTACTGACTCTCTAGAGTTAGTTTTCCATATCTAGGATGTTGACTTGTATTTTCTATCAGAAGTTGATTGTTTTTTCTTTCTTTGTGTGTAACAGAAATCTCTGGTGACTGAGACGTTTGATGCCATCTTCTCCAGATGTTTGGGAAGCATTGTGGAAGGCACCAAAGGGTAAATATGACTTTATATTTACCTATCCACTACACTGTTACCCCACCCACACACTGCTTCATTTTACCCCCTACATCCCGACCACATTAGCTCAATCTCTTCCCTTGCTTTTGTAAACATAGTTCTGCTTCCTCCTCAGAGTTGGATGTCGGTTGGTATTTGTTCCCTCCCAGAGAGATGTCCACCATCACTTCATTTACCCACAACCCCCTTTCACCCTGCCGGACCTCAGCAAGGACGACGCAAAGGTGAAATGGCCCACATGATGTCACTCAGATTTTTTTTTTATCATACAGGAAATCTTCTGTCATAGAAAAACGGCATGCCCTACCTCAATAATGTGTTAAATTGTTTTTGCATTGGCTCTTCAGCGTGTGACCCTGGTGCCTGACCCCTGCACCCTGCTCATCGAGGGTGTGACCTTTGGCCTGACCTCTACAGACATCCTTTTCCACATGGGAGCAGAGGAGATCAGCTGGTGAGTGCATGTGTGTTCGGCTCCAGACCTCTACACTGTATCTCTTTTGGTGTTCACAGATTCATATTGCTTACCATGACTGCTCCTTCGATCAAAGTGTTTATATGGTGATACTGTTCTGTGTTTCAGTGCCGCTGGGTCGGACAGATTCTCACGCATCTTGAAACATATGCTGACCCAGAGAAAGTGAGTGAGCACAGGGACAGAAGGGTCTTAGTGATTTGATTCTATTTGACAATTTACAAACACAATACAACCACAAATGTGGATAAAATGCATAAAATGTTTTGTCTAGGATAACACAAAGTTAAACTTCCATTGTGTTCAAAAACATAAAACATGTTACACATTAGAAGCTAAAAGCTGAATTGTAGTAAACACCACATGGCCAAAATAATGGGAGGAGAGTGTTAAGCTTGAAGGGCATAGATTCAACACACTACTATACTGTGTCCACACAGTAATTATTTCACTTCCTGGCTATTCTTGGACTCGTTTGAGGGCAAGAACAACTAATTTCTTCCCTGTTCTCTGTGTAATATATATATATATATATATATATAGCTACTACCCCTTGTACCCGCCTGTGGAGGAGGTGAACATGGACTATGAGAAGTTCCAGAGCTACGGCCAGATGCCCCTCAGTCCTGATATGCTCATCGTCCCCTCAGAGCTCCGCTTCTTCATCAAGGTGAACAACAAGGCTGGTTCACACAGTGGAAACTCACTCTTTCTCGCTCTCTCTCTCTTTCCCATCTTTTTCTCTCTTTCCATCTTTCTCGCTATCACACACATTTACAATGAAGCTTTAAAAAATATATGTAATTTTTCACAGGATGTGATTGGCTGCGTATGTGTCAATCCTGGACGCCTGACCAAGGGGCAGGTGGGAGGGACTTACGGCAGGCTGCTCATCCAGAGGAGCGCCACATCGATAGATGGGAAGAGAGTCAGTCCCTGTGTGGCCGGCCAAGTGGTCAAGATCTAACCTGATTGAAGACTGACTGAAGATGGATTCCTCTTCATATTACAAAATGATCTATTCTACAACGACTATCAATGTAGCTGCTTACTGTAATTTAATTTGATAATTTGCTCAGTCGTGTATGTGCTTGGTATTCTACTGAATCACTCCTTATTTTACAGTGGAGTTTTCCAGAGAGATGATGATATTGATTATCAGTCATCCATTCTGATTATCACTCTTCTTGTCAATAAATAATTATTTCTCAATCTTCTTATTGTGTTGTATTTATTTTCAGCTGCCATTGTTCAACCAGTGATTTTTTCCACTGCAATTTGTTTAAGTTTACATGAGAATGCTCAAAAGGGGGCCTTTCATTTTGATAAAATGGAAACGGATCTTGAACCCAGCTATACGCGCAGGCGCAGTGGACATTTTGACAGCCGCACTGAGCAAACATGGCGGCGGCCGTAGATAGTGTTGTGAAAGTGTAAGTTGTCCTTTATTTATTTTTTAACGAGTAGGTGCATTTGACACTTTCAGAGATTTAAGTCCCGACGTAGGAGTTGACAATGTATTGGAAACTATGTAGAACATGGCTATTTGCCGTCTAGTTATCTTTACAGCAAAGCGTTGTCTACACGTAGCTAGCCAACTAGCTATGTGGCTATTGTTTCTCTAGCAAGTTTAGCTAGCCTATGTTAGACAACAATGCTTCAATTGAAAATGGTTGTCCTTTGTTAACTTACTGTAAACAAGACGGAAGTTTATAAACGGTCGACATAAAGATTATGGTGTGAATTTAAATTGCACCTAACGTTAACTAATAGCTACGTAGCTAGCTTTATAGCTAGGCCCAGCGTAGCTTGCTTGCCAACAATTGAAGCGCACCCTGTCTGCGGTTCTGCATTGTCTACCTACTGTAGCTAGGTATTATCCTGTAATATTACAGTGAACGGAGTGGTCCTGTACAACTATACATAATTATTCGTTTTGAAATGGTTAGAATAACGACTATGATCATTTCTAGTCTAGCATGAGTGTGATTTGTGTTTTATTGATTCAGGCTCGGGGAGCAGTACTATAAGGATGCTATGGAACAGTGCCACAGCTATAATGCTCGTCTGTGTGCGGAGAGGAGCATCCTTATGCCTTTCATCGACTCTCAGACTGGTGTTGCTCAAAGCAATTGCTACATCTGGATGGAGAAGAGACACAGGAGTGCAGGTCTGTAGCGAAGACACACACACACACACATTCACTCCCTCAAAAGCACACTTTAATGATCAACACTTTTTCATCCATATATATATTTTGTTCAGGCATGGCTGCTGGGCAGCTGTATAGCTATCCATCTCGACGCTGGAGGAAGAGACGTCGGTCCCACCCTCCTGAGGACCCCCGTTTGGCCTTCCCCCCTATCAAATCAGGTACAATTCCTTTTTATTGTTTGTTCTTAATGTCAGAGGGCACAGTGTGGCCCGGTAGTCTTCTGCCTCTTCAGTATTGAATAAGCCTCTCTCGCTCTGTGTAGCGGAGCTGGAGCTGGGTCTGAAACGGGATGTCGTGGGCGCGGTGGACGGCAGCAGCCTAGAGGCCCTGCTGAAGGGGGAGCCCCTGGAGAGGAGGGGCCCGCCGGACCCCCGGGCCCCGGAGGACAACCCAGCCACACCTGAACCCGTGGCCGCCACAGTCTCCAGCCACACCTCCTCTGGACGCATCCGCAAGGTTAGATGGAACCTCTGACCTCCCTAGATCAATGAACCAAATATATATTTTTTAATGCACATTTTACAAACGAGGCTCTGTCAGTGCACCTGTCTTATCTTGAACTCTACTCTGCTTTCAGAGGGTGCTGGACCACGATGACTACCTGGATGATCTGGACGATGAGGACTTTGAGGACGAGACCCCAAAGAGACGAGGGAAGGGCAAGTCCAAGGGTCGTGGAGTGGCCAATGGAAAGAAGAAAATGGAGGCAGCCGCTGCAGCCCTGGAGGAGCAGGACAAACCTTACGCCTGTGACAGTGAGTATAGATTTATTCGATGTAAATTCTGGTGTATGTGCATGTATGATGACTTACTCCATAATGATGTGTGTGTTTGCAGTCTGTGGGAAGCGCTATAAGAACCGTCCGGGCCTGAGCTACCACTACACACACTCCCATCTGGCGGAGGAAGAGGGGGAGGACAGAGAGGAGATAGATTCCCCTCCCCCCCGGCGCCATCCTGAGGAGCACAAGAGTGAGTCACTGTCTGGAATGATAGCTACTGGAATCATGAGTCACATTCTACTATAGAGCTGGTCACATTTCTATTATAGATCTAGAAACTCCTGCTTATCTCATGATACCAGACCTGGGTCAAATGCATGTCTTAACAGTTGAGGTGCGCTTCATTTACTACAATGGAATCAATGGAATAGTCCCAAAAGTGCATACCCAAAGCTAAATGAAGCACACCTCAAGAGCGAGTCAAACTATTACAAAGTTAAAGAGTCACTCTACTCTAGTTTCAGAGGGATGTCAGTGTTCTAGGGCAGGTTGAGTGTATTTCATTCTCATTGTTCTCTGTCTCCTCTCTTATCTCAGCTCCTAAGAAAGGCCCTAACGGTCTGGCCCTGCCCAACGACTACTGCGACTTCTGTCTGGGAGACTCCGCCCACAACCAGAAGACCGGCCAGTCAGAGGAGCTGGTGTCCTGCTCAGACTGCGGACGCTCAGGTAGGAACCTCCTACCCACACCCCACATTTCCATTAAAGGGATAGTTCAGGCAAAATCTATATTTGGGTGGAATGACCCTTACCTTGAGTTGTCTGAAGGCCCAGGGTGACAGAATCCACAATAATCCATTATTTATTTCTGCCACAGCCAGGAGTTAGCATCGTCAAAATTCATGAATGTAAACAGCCAAACTGATGTTATCAATGCTGCTCTATAACTCCTTAGTGTAGTCCTCTGGCTCTATTTGAGTGTTCTGTGGATGTATTTCAACCTTTATTTTGCCAGGTTGGTAAGTCATTGACAACAGACCTGTGTCTGTCTCCCTTCAGGTCACCCGTCCTGCCTGCAGTTCACAGATGTGATGATGGCAGCTGTAAAGACGTACCGCTGGCAGTGTATCGAGTGCAAGTGCTGCAACGTCTGTGGTACCTCAGAGAACGACGTGAGTGCTGCTCCACCTCTGCCTTCTCATACTTCTCCTGTTCTGTGTCTCCTCACACACACTGTTTCTCTGTCTGTCAGGACCAGCTGCTGTTCTGTGATGACTGTGATCGAGGATACCACATGTACTGCCTCGACCCTCCTATGACTGAGCCCCCAGAAGGTATGTCACAGTCTAACCACAACTTCTCTTTGATGTCAATGAAGCCCACATTTACTATGTTGAACTGGTGAGTTTCCATGTATTAAACTCTCTCTCTCTACAGGGAGTTGGAGTTGTCACCTTTGCCTGGCGCTGCTGAAGGACAAGGCATCCATATACAAGCAGCAGAGCCTCACCACAGAGGATGAATAGCGGTTAGTTGTTAGTATCTTTGGGGCCACCCCAGAGTAACCCACCCTGCCCTCAGCCAGGGGACCCCACCTTACCACCCCACACAACGACAGTAGCTCCTCACACCCTGGTCCGCACCCCCTCAATGACCAGGAGGTAGGGTGTGGGTCTGGTTGGGGACTGGAGAGGAGGGAGTCCTCTCCCCACCACCCTGTAGGCATGCCCCTTCCTGTCTCTCCTCCTATCACGGCTGTTAACTCACCCGGACTGTTACACACTCTGCAGAGACCACCGTAACCCTGGTAACCACTGTCTCTACAGAGTTCATGTTAGAAAGAAAGGATTAGCATCTCATGCTAACTATTCCCCAACTCAACTCCCCCTCTCCTTTATATGGTGTGGACTGCTAAGACAGGCAGTGTGCTTAATTTGTTGCCAAAATATCTATTTGTACTTGTTAAAAAAATAACCAAGTGTATGGATTTAAGGATTCCAAAATATGATCACATTGTTGAGGGATATTAAGTGGACTTTTGTAGTGAAGTTGTCTGTGTACTTCTTTTGGATGTTTTAAAAACATTTTTATCTCAAAGGTTTTCCTGCAACAACAAATATTTAAGGAACCTCTGGTGCCAAGGTCCATATGTTGTGTCCCAAATGGCATCCTATTCGCTATATTGTGCACTTCTTTTGATCAGGGTCCAATAGGGCGCCTTTTGGGACGCAACCATAGTCATTCTATCGTGACTGAATCACGTCTTACTGCTGGTCTGATTTTAAACCTAACATTGACAATTTCTTAGCTATCGTCTTTATGGTTTATGTAGCTGTTCATATCTATGCCACAATGAGCGAGGCACATTGCATGCAGAATTGCACCTGTACTTGAGTACGAATGCACACACACACACAATTCTTTACTTTTTTTTTTATTATTTCTTTACATTTTATATCACTTGATATTCCATGGGGTTGGGGATTTTTTTCTAGTAGAATTTTGTAAAGTACCGGTATATACTAACGACGTCAATGGAGAAAAAAAAAAGCATATTACCCAATGCCAGTACTGTATGACATTTTCTATTTGTTTTTAGTGACATTTTGATTTATTTTATGATATCATGTTCATGATCTCCATAATGAGTTATGGTAAATAATGTATTTTTATTTACTTTTTTTGTATTGAAACTGCTTTTGCCCTATTAAAATGTCTATGTATCTGCAAACAAAACTGTCTAGTAAAAGTGTCTTAGGGAAGTGACAGGGACATAAAGGCAATCCCCAAGCTTTTGTTCATACCTCCATAACTTACAGGAAACTCAGGGAGGGGTATATTTTAAAGGAGGGAGACTGCAAAAGGGATTATTGCACAGACTGTGGTATCTATTGTACTCAACACTAATTCTCTAAAAAACGGTGCTCCGAAGTATTTACAGCAATGAAAACACACGTATCAGTTCAATAGTGAGTGAATAAAACATGCTAAACACATACAACATTTTACATTTACATTTTAGTCATTTAGCAGACGCTCTTATCCAGAGCGACTTACAGGAGCAATTAGGGTTAAGTGCCTTGCTCAAGGGCACATTGACAGATTTGTCACCTGGTCGGCTCGGGGATTAGAACCAGCGACCTTTCGATTACTGGCACAACGCTCTTAACCACTAAGCTACCTGAACAAAATAAACGCAACAATTTCAAAGATTTTACTGAGTTAGAGTTCATATGAGGAAATCAGTCATTGAAATAAATAAATTGGGCCCTAATCTATGGATTTCACATGACTGGGAAACATGCATCTCTTGGTCAGATACCTTAAAAAAAAATGGGCCTCAGGATCTCGTCACGGTATTTTTGTGCATTCAAATTGCCATCAATAAAATGCAATTATGTTTGTTGTCCGTAGCTTATGCCTGCCTGCCCATACCATAACCCCACCGCGGGGCACTCTGTTCACAACGTTGACATCAGCAAAGCGCTCGCCCACACAACGCCATACACATGGTCTGCGGTTTTGAGGCCCGATGGATGTACTGCCAAATTCTCTAAAATGACATTGGAGGCGGCTTGTAGTAGAGAAATGAATATTACATTCTCTGGCAACAGCTCTGGTGGACATTCCTGCAGTCAGCATGCCAATTGCACTCCATCAAAACTTGAGACATCTGTGGCATTGTGTTGTGTGACACAACTGCACATTTTAGTGGCCTTATTGTCCTCAGCACAAGGTGCACCTGTGTAATGATCATGCTGTTTAATCAGCTTCTTGATGTGCCACACCTGTCAGGTAGATGGATTATCTTGGCAAAGGAGAAATGCTCACTAACAGGGATGTCAACAAAATTTGAGAGAAATAAGCTTTTTGTGAGTATGGAATATTTCGGGGATCTTTTATTTCAGCTCGTGAAACATGGGACCAACACTTTACATGTTGCGTTTATATTTTGGTTCAGTCTACATACATTAAGAGTGATACTACAAGCATACAATTATGTATGATTAGCCGAGTATGGTTACTGCTGTGGCACTCCTACAAGCGATACAATAGTGGGTTTTAAAGGTCCAATGCAGCCATTTTTATCTCAATATCAAATCATTTCTGGGTAACAATTAAGTACCTTACTGTGATTGTTTTCAATTAAAATGGTCAAAAAGAGGTTTGGAACTCTTTCTAATTGGTCTGTTAAGTAATTTACCACCTGGTGATGTTACCAGGCAGTCCAAAACTCCATCCCACCGTCTTTTCAAACAGCTCTTACACTAAAAGGGCATTATCATACATTTCATAGTGGAAATATATAAAACAGGAAAATAAAGTTTGACTGCACTGGGCCTTTAACACTTTAAAGAATGACTCCTCATTGTCATCACGTAACTGTAAACTGTAGATGGATACAAATTCAATACATTATAAATTCATTGTGCGAAGTGCATGTTCTCAACTGGTCATCTTGGGATATCACACATTATTCTAGTTGCTCTGTATAAAACTATGTAAAAGATCCAGTTTGAAACATTGATCAAAGATCAAATGTGAGGTTTCCCATCAATATAACAATACTCATATGTCTCAGAAATGCAAATGAACCCTAACTAAATACCCGTTCACATACAACTGAGCAATAATGTCAACAAGTAAAAACATGAGGACAAATAGTCTCATTATAATCATACTAAAATGTGTGAACCTGGCCTACAGTCGCTGTAAGCTGACCGAGCAGAGTAGGAAGATGGCGTAGAACATCATGAGACAGAGACCCAGTCTGCGGTCCAACCACCAACGGTTCAGGTGAACACTCAGGACCTGCAGAGAGAGAGTGATAGAGGAGGAAAGGATAGAGAGAAATTGAGAAAGAAGTGAGAGGTGGCTAGAGAGGATTAGAGCAGCAGTAAAGTACTATATACGGTCTGATTTTGTCATAGAAATAACAACTTTAAAAGATATTACAGTGATACTCACAGTGAGGAACACTGAACCCAACAGCAGAACAACTGAATACACCAGGCCTTTACTGTTGATGAACACCTGCCAACCATAAAAACACTCAACCTCTTTTTGCAGATGCACATCTGGCAACCTCAAAGGCACAACACCTAGCAGCTTTTTGGTTGAGAAACATTTGTCAACCAACAAAAAAAAAGATGTCCCTACCACTGATCCGTAGTCGACCACCAGAGTGCGCAGGAACCAAGGGAACCCAAGTCCCAGAAGCACATCGAAGATATTACTGCCAATGGAGTTAGAGACAGCCATGTCCCCCATACCTACAATACACACACCATAGTCAAAATAAGGCATACAGTTAGAGACAGGCATGTCCATCATACCGTACAAAACAAACAAACAAAAAGGTTAACATCCCAACACACGCAGACTGATTAGAATTCCGTTACCTTGTCGAGCTACGATGAGGCTGGCCATACAGTCCGGTACGCTGGTACCAGCAGCCAGGAAGGTGATGCCCATCACCACCTCAGGGATGCCCAGCGTGAAACTGATAACGGTCACCTGGGAGCATAGAGGGCATTAGGTGACATAAGGGATTGTTTCATCTCATTAGACAGCATAACCTCCTGAGTGGCGCAGTGGTCTAAGGCACTGCATCACAGTGCTAACTGTGCCACTAGAGATCCTGGTTCGAATCCAGGCTCTGTCGCAGCCGGCCGCGACCGGGAGACTCATGGACGGCGCACAATTGGCCCAGCGTCGTCCAGGGTAAGGGAGGGAATGGCCGGCAGGGATGTAGCTCAGTTGATAGAGCATGGCGTTTGCAACGCCAGGGTTGTGGGTTCGTTTCCCACGGGGGGCCAGTATAAAAAAAAAAAAAATGTATTCACTAACTGTAAGTCGCTCTGGATAAGAGCGTCTGCTAAATGACTTAAATGTAAATGATTGTCCCACCTTGTGTGTTATGTGTAGGAACGTGTGTGTGTTTATGTGTGAGCTTGTGTATGTGTGCTCTGTAGTCCATACCATCCAGACCATGAGGTAGGAGAAGAGTGCGATCCAGAGTGTGGAGGCCAGGAAGGTCAGGAGGTACCAGCGGCTCCAGCGAGGCAGGACACAGTTGGGTATGGTGCAGCAGAGCAGCAAGCATAGAGGCCATGACACCAGCCAGCGCACACGCTCACAGTGCCCTCCTGAGGACGGAGGGAGCAGCGCCTTCATTTTTCAATCATCAATCAATCACAAAGTGCAACAGTAGTCACAAAGAGCTTTACAGTAACCTGACCTCAACCTACAAAGAGCAAGAAGCAGCAGCAAGAAACCTTGAGAGGAACCAGACTCAATATCATCAGAATGTAGTAACAGGTTACTTGTTGAGAGGAACCAGACTCAATATCATCAGAATGTAGTAACAGGTTACTTGTTGAGAGGAACCAGACTCAATATCATCAGAATGTAGTAACAGGTTACTTGTTGAGAGGAACCAGACTCAATATCATCAGAATGTAGTAACAGGTTACTTGTTGAGAGGAACCAGACTCAATATCATCAGAATGTAGTAACAGGTTACTTGTTGAGAGGAACCAGACTCAATATCATCAGAATGTAGTAACAGGTTACTTGTTGAGAGGAACCAGACTCAACATTATCAGAATATAGCAACAGGTTACTGGTTTGTAAATGTGTGTGTAAGGTAACGCTCACCTGGCACTATGAAGGGACTGAATGAGACCTCCTCTTCTTCCTCCAGCTCCTCCTCTTGGGGCTGTAACCCCCCTTTGTTCCCCTCCGGCCCCCCATCCCTGTCTCCGTCCCCCTCCAGTGGCTGCCTCTCACTGTCCCCCGCCCCACCGTTCTCTACTCCCCATGATGCCCCCCCATCTCCCCTCTCCTCCCCACTGTTCCCTATTCCCCATGTGGCCCCATCTCCCCCCTCCTCCCCTGCTCCACCGTTCTCCTCCTGGCCCCGAGCCCGGCTCAACCTCTGCCTCTGTGTGAGTGAGAAGGTAAGAGACAAACTTTATACGTTTTACAGTTCTGAATTTGTTAAGAGTAGGAGTATGTCACAACTCCAGCACGGCGCAGGAGAACATCCAACAGCACAATGTTGGCATTCAGCATTAAGCCAGAACAGAGGAACAGGGATGATGCAAGCATAGTGTGTCTGTGCTTTGTAATCATGCATCCAGCAAAGGCTTAGGCATGGGGGTGTAAGGAAATATGCAATGCATGTGTGTGTTTTTTGCACTTCTATAATAACCATGCATCTTTCCATGCTAAGGTGTGGAGACATACCGCTGTGTGTGTGGATGTGTGTCCTGTGTACCTCATTGATGACCATGCGTCCTGCCATGCGGAGCCGTGTGTAGGGGGGGAAATGTGGGGTGATCAGGAGATGGAGGCTTGCCTCAGAGAAGGTCAGCTGGTGAGGGTGCAGACTCATCATCTCATCCACCATCACTACAGCAGAGTCTTGCCCTGCACACGAGTCTGGGAGAGAGAGGGAGGAGGAGAGAGAGAGAGGGAGGAGGAGAGAGAGAGAGAGGGAGGAGGAGGAGAGAGAGAGAGGGAGGAGGAGAGAGAAGAGGAGGAGGAGGAGAGAGAAGAGGAGGAGGAGGAGGAGGAGGAGAGAGAAGAGGAGGAGGAGGAGAGAGAGAGAGAGAGAGGGAGGAGGAGAGAGAGAGGGAGGAGGAGAGAGGAGAAGAGGAGGAGGAGGCAAGGAGAGAGAGAGAGAGAGGAGAGAGAAAGAGAGTCTTCTCCGTTTTCTTTCTCTGAGGTTTTTCTTCGTTCTCGAGGGAGGAAGCGAGAGGGAGGGAGAGGAGGAGAGGGGGAGGGAGGAGAGGGAGGGGGACGAGCTCAGGGAGGAGGAGGGGAGGGATTCTCTCCTTTCTTTCTCTGGGAGGGGAGATTCTTTTCTTCCTCTTCGGAGGGAGGAGGGGGAGGGGAGAGCGGGCGGAGAAGGAGGAGGAGGGAGTGAGGAGAGAGGGAGAGGAGGGAGAGGGAGAAAGTGAGGAGGGGTGGATGGAAGGCGGCAAAAGTAGGTTTTCAATTGAAAAGAGCTACTTTATGTCTGTCTATTTTAGAATCATGATACAATGGGAATATGTTCCATTTGATTGAAAACAATCTGAAGCAATGTCGATACAAGTGTGTGCATACACACACACACACACAACCAGTGGTAGAGACACAAACCCACCTCTCTTCAGCAGCACCATGTCAGTGTCACAGTCGACTCCTCCATGCCCCACTGCGGTGGTCCGTCTCAGGGTACTGAAGCAGGGCTGGCCCCCTCGACCACAGTGCCTCTCCACCCAGCCTGACAGGGGTCTGTTGAACCTACACACACACAGTATCACAACCAACATCTGTCAGGGATAGATACTGTCCCTTGCTTGTGCATATCTGAAGTAAAATGTTGTGGGGTAAGAGGGGGCACTGAACAAACAGTAAACTATAAGAGGCAAAGTCAGTAACTCACTCCATGGTGATAATGTAGTCAGTTACTCACTTCATGGTGATAATGTAGTCAGTTACTCACTTTATGATGATAATGTAGTCAGTTACTCACTTCATGATGATAATGTAGACTAGATACATGGAGATCAGTATGATGGTCTCCCACCTACAACAGAGAAAAACTGTTTAAAAGCACAATCTGTATGCATCACTGAGTTGTAAATATGTAGAGAACCCTGGTCCAATGTTCTTACCAAATCACTTCGTCATCATAGATCACCACAATCAGCATCAGTATAGACAGGATGTAGTAGAGAGAATCACGGAGCAGTGGCCACCAGCTCAGAGAGATAGGCTGCGAGAGAAGAGAGAACCGAACACACTGATGAACAACACTGCCTGTCTAAATCGAAATCCTGCCATATTGCTTTCACCTGTCTCAAATAAGGCGAGTTACCTGTCCGGCAAAGATCCCACAGATGCCGATGATGACGAGGATGTTGAAGACAGCCGATCCCACGATGGTCCCTACACCCAGGTCACCTTTAGTGATGAAGACACCTGGGAGGACAAGAGGTCAACAGCAGTGCATATCGATCCAATCAGTCCAATCGGTACTAATTTGCAGGCCACTTTTGGTGACCTGGGCCATGTTCAGTACGAAAACGTTGTGGAACTTTGCAGATAGAAATCCCACAACTAGAGTTGACGTGATTCCTTATTCTATATACCAGAGAAGTATATTTGTTTTACATCATACATTTCTATCTGAACGTTGGCCAACGTTTTGTCCTGCTGAACGCGGCCCAGGATCAAGGATGTAGAATACTGACCAATCAAGGAGGTGAAGAGCTCAGGGGCGGAGCTTCCAGCCGCCATGAACGTTGCCCCGGCAACATCCTCACTAAGTTGAAGATTCTAGAAAAGAGGTTGAGGTTAGTGGATAAACAGAGAGGCTTTGTAATTAAAACAAACTGCAATCAGTGAAGAGGCAATCAAAAAGTAATGAGGGAAACAAACCGCAGGTTGGCATTTATTAGGATGACTCATGTACTGGACGCAGCAATGCAGAGTGGTCACTAGCTGGCACAGCCACAAAGTCATTAAACCTAACCTTAACCTTAACCACACTGCTAACCCTAATGCCTAACCTTAAATTATGACCAAAAATCTAATTTTTGTTTTCATGGATTTTTACAATATAGCCAATTTTTGGGCAAGACTTGTGACAATAAATGTCAACCTGCAAAGAAACCAACAGAAGTGGGAAGGTGTTTTTATTGTCACCTCTGATATCTTCTCCAGTGATGGAACAAAATAGACATCACAGACTATAGCCAGGGCATAGAACATGTAGATCGCCTAGGAAACACAGGAGAAGAAACAGTTTGTCTGTGGACTGAGTTGGATGACGTAGAGATTGTTGGGGTACTGTTACAGTAGAACGGTGTACTACAACAGCACTGTTGAACAAGGCAGTAGGCTACATAGAGATCCTATTAAATTACTAGATATGTATTCTAATTCCTAATTATATGGCTACTCACACAGACTACATGGAGAAGAACTGCTCCCTTTCTCCTCTGCTCTGGAGAGAAGATGTCTGCTGGAAACTCGTGCATTGCTGAAAGAGAGGGAGAGTGTTTTCTGAAGAAGGGTTCCAATCAAGGGAATAAGACGCATTCAGTTGGTCATGTTCCAAAACTCTAGCAGTTCTTGAGATGTGAGATCATGTGACCATGTGAGTGTTCCATATCATCTCCTAGCAACAGGCCCACAGCTCCTGGTTTAAGTGGACTTTTTAGAATATATGTCACATGACAGTGACAGGCGGACACAACCTACCTCAGACCCCTTGGCCTCGACCCTAAACTCACTCACATAGTTCTACGCATATTTGCACACACCCTGAACATGCATACATACGTACACACACACACACCAGACAAGAAGAGAGGGCGCTACTAACAGGGCATTTTTAAAAGCTCAAAATACACTCTGTTGGCAGTTTTAGAATTTAGCATTTAGTTGCCTAGCAACACGAACATCAAAGGGGTATTAATGAGGGTTTAGGTATCTGTCTGAACCTCTTTAAAGCCAGACCCAGTAAGTTTAATTAACGTAATTTGTGATGATGAAATATCAAACTGTCAGGGAGACAAAACAAACCCAGGCAAGACATCATTACGTGCTCTATCAGAGTTCTCAAGCGGCCGCTGGGCCAGCCACCCTTCCATCTGTCAGTATCAGTATCAGTATCACAAGCATGTAGGTTACTCTACTGTATAAAAATTACAATTTACAAGTGGAGTCAGTTATGAACGTTACAGCAGTAAAATGTCATTCTAATTTACATAGACAAGTTCAACAATATAGGCTGGCTAATGCGGTGCAACCATAGCGCTGTTTTCTGCTTGATCTCTTTCAGTGCAAACATTTGCCTGGAAAAGTCGACCCTCAGCAACTATAGGATTGAATCAATTTGCCATCAAAAGGTTGCAATAGTAAACTTCACATCCAAGAGGAAACAAATATTAACCAACTAGCAAGTGCATGAAAGTTTATTTGGCTGTAGGCTATTTACATTTGCAAGTGTAACCGGTGTGAAATGGCTAGCTAGTTAGCGGTGCGCGCTAGTAGTGTTTCAATCGGTGACGTCACTCGTTCTGAGACCTTGAAGCAGTTGTTTCCCTTGCTCTGCATGGGCTGCGGTTTTGTGGAGCTATGCTTCGAGGGTGACTATTGTCGATGTGTGCAGAGGGTCCCTGGTCCAAGCCCAGGTAGGGGCGAGGAGTGGGACGGAAGCAACACTGTTACATTGATGCCGTGACCCGGATCACTGGTTGCTGCGGAAAAGGAGGAGGTCAAAGGGGGGTGAGTGTAACCGGTGTGAAATGGCTAGCTAGTTAGCGGTGCACGCTAGTAGCGTTTCAATCGGTGACGTCACTCGCTCTGAGACCTTGGAGTAGTTGTTTCCCTTACTCTGCAAGGGCTGCGGCTTTTGTGGAGCGATGGGTAACGGTGCTTCGAGGGTGACTGTTGTCGATGTGTGCAGAGGGTCCCTGGTCCAAGCCCAGGTAGGGGCGAGGAGAGGGACAGAAGCAAAACTGTTACACAAGCAATGCGTGTGTGTATCTATATGTTTACTAGCCAGCTATATTAGCTAACTAGTTTGCTTCACTAACCAGTAGACAGAGCTGGCTTTCATGATTATTATCCATAGTTTCCAGCATGCTGCTGGCACTGCCCGTGTAGCTCAGTTGGTAGAGCATGGCGCATGCAACGCCAGGGTTGTGGGTTCGTTTCCCACGGGTGGCCAGTATGAATTTTTATTTATTTAAAAAATGTATGCACTCACTAACTGTAAGTCGCTATGGATAAGAGCGTCTGCTAAATGACTAAAAATGTAAAATGTAAGTCTGAAATATGGTCCAACTAGCAAGTTTTGCACCAGGAAAATATTTTCAATCCCTTGCTGAATGAAAATCGCGCACAATTCCAGTTTTAATTCGAACTAGCAACATCAAAGCAACTTTGTAATGACAGACCCACCAGTGTTTTCAAATCTGCAGTCTTGCGTATCGTCAGCTGTCGCACCAGCAGCGACGCACAGACATTCCTGTCAGCCAGGAGCCAAAAAACATGCATTTTTCAGCTAAATTATACGTTTATTCTGTATCACTCAACTCTCATTTATGAGTCTCGTTTGTATTGAGAGGGATATACACTATTTATAGAAAAGTATGTGGACACCCCTTCAAATTAGTGGATTCGGTTATTTCAGCCACACCCGTTGCTGACAGGTGTATAAAATCGAGCACACAGCCATGCAATCTCCATAGACAAACATTGGCAATAGAATGGCCTTACTGAAGAGCTCAGTGACTTTCAACGTGGTACTGTCATAGGATGCCACCTATTCAACAAGTCAGTTCCTTAAATATCTGCCCTGCTAGAGTTGTCCCGGTCAACTGTTAGTGCTGTTATTGTGAAGTGGAAATGTCTAGGAGCAACAACGGCTCAGCCGCTAAGTGGTAGGCCACACAAGCTCACAGAACTGGACTGCTGAGTGCTGAAGCGCGTAGCGGGTAAAAATCGTCTGTCCTCGGTTGCAACACTCACTACCGCGTTCCAAACTGCCTCTAGAAGCAACATCAGCACAAGAACTGTTCATCGGGAGCTTCATGAAATGGGTTTCCATGGCTGAGCAACCGCACACAAGCCTAAGATCACCATGCGCAATGCCAAGCGTTGGCTGGAGTGGTGTAAAGCTCTGGATCCGTGGAAACGCATTCTCTGGAGTGATAAATCACGCTTCACCATCTGGCAGTCCAAAACAGACGAATCTGGATTTGGAGGATGCCAGGAGAATGCTACCTGCCCCAATACATAGTGCCAACTGTAAAGTTTGGTGGAGGAGGGATAATGGTCTGGTGCTGTTTTTCATGGTTCGGGCTAGGCCCCTTAGTTCCAGTGAAGGGAAATCTTAATGCTACTGCATACAATTACATTCTAGATGATTCTGTGCTTCCAACAGTTTGGGGAAGGCCCTTTCCTGATTCAGCACGACAATGCCCCCTGTGCACAAAGCGAGGTCCATACAGAAATTGTTTGTCGAGCTCGGTGTGGAAGAACTTGACTGGCCTGCACAGAGCCCTGACCTCAACCCGATCGAACACCTTTGGGATGAGTTGGAACGCTGACTGCGAGCCAGGCCTGATCACTCAACATCAGTGCCCGACCTCACTAATGCTCTTGTGGCTCAATGGAAGCAAGTCCCCGCTGCAATGTTCTAACATCTAGTGGAAAGCCTTCCCAGAAGAGTGGAGGCTGTTATAGCAGCAAAGGGGGGACCAACTCCATATTAATGCCCATGATTTTGGAATGAGATGTTCAACAAGCAGGTGTCGACATACTTTTGGTCATGTAGTGTTGTTAGATATGTATTTGTTAATAAAGCTGCTGTACTTATAATTCGTAAAGCCTTCATTTGTGTCACTTTGAAGTGATCCAAATGGCAAATTCATCTTTCATCTATACATTTCGAGATATATTAAACCTGAAGAAAAAAAAGTGACATTTAATTTGGGACTTACTGAGTCTGGCTTTTAAAAAATGAGGAGAGACAGACAGAGTGATTGACAGATAGGCTAGAGACACTGGATGAGCGAGTGGGAAGCAAAAAGAGAGAGCAAGGAGCGGAGGAGTAATGCACAGGTAGAAAGACAAGACACCAACGATCAAAGAGCACAGGAACAAAAACAAAAATACGTAGCGCACCAGCTCTGGGCGTTGTAGGAGTGTAGGAGGTGTGGTTCTCCTCTTCTCTCTCCTGCATTAGTTCTCTCTTAGACCAGGGGAAGTCACCAACAACATCCCTGGGGCTGGGAGAGTCTGTCAGGATAGAGCAGCATAAATTATTTCCTAAAAGATATTAGCCTATGAAATATTATGAGCTTATAAAAAGCGATCACATTGTTTTTATAATATTATTGCAAGATAATTTAATAATGAAACAGGTGTGATGATTGAATAAACCACTGATATTTTATGTATGAATTAAATGGATAACGCGACTCTTTGGGAAACGCACCTGTTACGTCTAGGAGCTGCACGAGCCAGGTGGCGGTGATCATCACTACTCCACAGACACCGAACCGCCAGAAGAGCCTCGTGCGCTTAGGTCTCACCGCCGCCTTCATCTCGCCGCTGTTCCCTCCGCTCAGAACATGTCGGTCAAAATAACAGCGTCGGTTCTCCGGTTTATATCAGATGATCAGATGGAATCTTTTTCATGCACTCTCAGGGTTCTTCACGTGCAGCCATGTATTTGTGTTGTCAGCATCCCTGCACCCATTCTTTCCCACTCTCTGTCTTCAGAAGCGCAGCATCTTCCGTCGGCATCTGTCTGTTCCTCCACGGAACACGAGGCAAGCGGCTATGGGGTTTTTGCTAAATAATTAGTCTCGCACACAATATGCTATGGTTTTAAACGTCACATCGTCTTAAGTCTGTACTGTTTCCAGATTCTCCCATCATCTCTCCTTCGCTCCCAGTCTGTTCCAGTATCTTCGGGGGCTCGGTCACGAGGGGTGTTTACTGTGAGCTCGTGGTGCCACCATCAGTGAGCGCGCAAATTGGGTGGGACGAACCAACGAGCGAGCTCCAGTCTCAGAGACAAAATATGTATTTTTTAACATGAGAGACATGTTATGTTACGCCATTATGTCATTAATAATATAATATAAGACAGACAACACAGACACAATTCAAATAAATAAATTGTTATTTCATTTTTATCCAAATGCTTCCACAAATACGAGCACAAAATTATTGTAGCAGTAATTCACATTAAAACCACAAGATGTCACCAAATTATTTTACGCTTTTCACAGTTGACAGCTGTTCGGGAATCAGGAATGACGTCGGGCGATTGGGGACTATGTGGCGGACCAATTTTATTTCGATGGAAGACGCAGGCCAAGATGTCGACACAAGTCCAGAGGATAGAATAGACTCCGGAGGGAGCAATGAAGAGGCCATTGTGGACTGTGAGGCCGAGGATAGAATAGACGCCAGAAGGGAAAGGAGGGGGAAAATGGAGTCCTTTGAGAAAGCATGAAATAGATATTGGTCAGGAGAAATACAGTATAATCATAAGGAGAGTAGGAGATATATACAGTGGGGAGAACAAGTATTTGATACACTGCCGATTTTGCAGGTTTTCCTACTTACAAAGCATGTAGAGGTCTGTAATTTTTATCATAGGTACACTTCAACTGTGAGAGACGGAATCTAAAAAAATCCAGAAAATCCCATTGTATGATTTTTAAGGAATTAATTTCCATTTTATTGCATGACATAAGTATTTGATCACCTACCAACCAGTAAGAATTCCGGCTCTCACAGACCTGTTAGTTTTTCTTTAAGAAGCCCTCCTGTTCTCCACTCATTACCTGTATTAACTGCACCTGTTTGAACTCGTTACCTGTATAAAAGACACCTGTCCACACACTCAATCAAACAGACTCCAACCTCTCCACAATGGCCAAGACCAGAGAGCTGTGTAAGGACATCAGGGATAAAATTGTAGACCTGCACAAGGCTGGGATGGGCTACAGGACAATAGGCAAGCAGCTTGGTGAGAAGGCAACAACTGTTGGCGCAATTATTAGAAAATGGAAGAAGTTCAAGATGACGGTCAATCACCCTTGGTCTGGGGCTCCATGCAAGATCTCACCTCGTGGGGCATCAATGATCATGAGGAAGGTGAGGGATCAGCCCAGAACTACACGGCAGGACCTGGTCAATGACCTGAAGATAGCTGGGACCACAGTCTCAAAGAAAACCATTAGTAACACACTACGCCGTCATGGATTAAAATCCTGCAGCGCACGCAAGGTCCCCCTGCTCAAGCCAGCGCATGTCCAGGCCCGTCTGAAGTTTGCCAATGACCATCTGGATGATCCAGAGGAGGAATGGGAGAAGGTCATGTGGTCTGATGAGACAAAAATAGAGCTTTTTGGTCTAAACTCCACTCGCAGTGTTTGGAGGAAGAAGAAGGATGAGTACAACCCCAAGAACACCATCCCAACCGTGAAGCATGGAGGTGGAAACATCATTCTTTGGGGATGCTTTTCTGCAAAGGGGACAGGACGACTGCACCGTATTGAGGGGAGGATGGATGGGGCCATGTATCGCGAGATCTTGGCCAACAACCTCCTTCCCTCAGTAAGAGCATTGAAGATGGGTCGTGGCTGGATCTTCCAGCATGACAACGACCCGAAACACACAGCCAGGGCAACTAAGGAGTGGCTCCGTAAGAAGCTTCTCAAGGTCCTGCAGTGGCCTAGCCAGTCTCCAGACCTGAACCCAATAGAAAATCTTTGGAGGGAACTGAAAGTCCGTATTGCCCAGCAACAGCCCGTGGGCCAAAATCCCTAATGCAGTGTGTGCAAACCTGGTCAAGACCTACAGGAAACGTATGATCTCTGTAATTGCAAACAAAGGTTTCTGTACCAAATATTAAGTTCTGCTTTTCTGATGTATGAAATACTTATGTCATGCAATAAAATGCAAATTAATTACTTAAATTACTAAGTGATCCTGAGCCTATTTGCAATGTGTTTACACAGCGGGAAATGCAGAAGTATGTTATTTTTTCGCTATGATCAGCTCATAAAAAATTTACGGATACTAACTTGAGACCGCTGATCATGACAATTTAGCACACAGGGTGAAACTCCTGGACAGCAGTTGTGAGTAGCCTGATTGTCCATTCCATATTGTCCATTTTACTTTGACCTGTCTTGTTTTTAGGATATGTTGTTTGTTAACATGTCAGTGCATTTTTTATTTGATTGGTCGCCATTTAGGTTAGGCTATTTGATCGAAGAAACCTGCATGATGTAAAACGTTTCCGTCTCATTACATTGTCATACATTTTATCTCCAGCCTGTAGGTTACAGAAAAGTCCACATAATCTTTCTACCATTATGCTATATCTGCTACATCATTTATGTTCGATTCTTTTATTGACGGAACGTTGGTGGAGCGCTGCAGTGATGCGACTCTCCAACAGCACCCTGGAGAGGCGTGCAGGGAATGGACAAGATAAATATTTTGCATCCCTGCCTTTGACAAAGTGGGAACTGATTATCACAGGGCGGCATCAGCACTCACCAAAAGCCCATATGCCACTGGTTGAAAGAAATTGTCATTGTTTTGGTGTAGAATTATGTGAGGTTTTATGTGTTGTTGGGAGGTGCGTCTTGGTCAGTTTAGCTCAGAAAATGCCGCCCTCGTCAATCTGCCGCCTAATCCTGCATAATGAGTGGGCTGGCCCTGGCGCCTGGTACCTACTACCACACCCTGTTCAAAGGCACTTAAATATTTTGTCTTGCCCATTCACCCTCTGAATGGCACACATACACCATCCATGTCTCAATTGTCTCAAGGCTTAAAAGTCCTTTAACCTGTCTCCTCTCCAAATCAAATGTAATTTGTCACATACACGTGTTTAGCAGATGTTATTGCGGGTGTAGCGAAATGCTTGTGCTTCTAGCTCCGACAGTGCAGTAATATCTAACAAGTAATATCTAACAATTTCACAACATATACCCAAAACACACAATCTAAGTAAGGAATGGAATTAAGAATATATACAGTTGACGTCAGAAGTTTACATACACCTTAGCCAAATACATTTAAACTCACAATTCCTGACATTTAATCCTAGTAAAAATTCCCTGTTTTAGGTCAGTTAGGATCACCACTTTATTTTAAGAATGTGAAATGTCAGAATAATAGTAGAGAGAATTATTTATTTCAGCTTTTATTTCTTTCATCACAATCCCAGTGGGTCAGAAGTTTACATACACTCAATTAGTATTTGGTAGCATTTAAATTGTTTAACTTGGGTCAAATGTTTCGGGTAGCCTTCCACAAGCTTCCCACAATAAGTTTGGTGAATTTTGGCCCATTCCTCCTGACAGAGCTGGTGTAACTGAGTCTGGTTTCTAGACCTCCTTGCTCGCACATGCTTTTTCAGTTCTGCCCACAAATGTTCTATAGGATGAGGTCAGGGCTTTGTGATGGCCACTCCAATACCTTGACTTTGTTGTCCTTAAGCCATTTTGCCACAACTTTGGAAGTATGCTTGGGGTCATTGGCCATTTGGAAGACCCATTTGCGACCAAGCTTTAACTTCCTGACTGATGTCTTGAGATGTTGCTTCAATATATCCACATCATTTTCCTTCCTCATGATGCCATCTATTTTCTGAAGTGCACCAGTCCCTCCTGCAGGAAAGCTTCCCCACAGCATGATGCTGACACCCCTGTGCGTCATGGTTGGGATGGTGTTCTTCGGCTTGCAAGCATCCCCCTTTTTCCTCCAAACATAACTATGGTCATTATGGCCAAACAGTTATATTTTTGTTTCATCAGACCAGAGGACATTTCTCCAAAAAAGTACGATCTTTGTCCATGTGCAGTTGCTAACCGTAGTCTTGCTTTTTTATGGCGGTTTTGGAGCAGTGGATTCTTCCTTACTGAGCGGCCTTTCAGGTTATGTCGATATAGGACTCGTTTTACTGTGGATATAGATACTTTTGTATCTGTTTCCTCCAGCATCTTCACAAGGTCCTTTGCTGCTGTTCTGGGATTGATTTGCACTTTTCGCACCAAAGTACGTTAATCTCTAGGAGACAGAAAGCGTCACCTTCCTGAGCGGTATGACGGCTGCGTGGTCCCACGGTGTTTATACTTGCGTACTATTGTTTGTACAGATGAACGTGGTACCTTCTGGCGTTTGGAAATTGCTCCCAAGGATAAACCAGACTTGTGGAGGTCTACAATTGTTTTCTGAGGTCTTGACTGATTTCTTTTGATTTTCCCATGATGTCAAGCAAAGAGGCACTGAGTTTGAAGGTAGGCCTTGAAATACATCCACAGGTACACCTCCAGTTGACTCAAATTATGTCAGTTAGCCTATCAGAAGCTTCTAAAGTCATGACATTTTCTGGAATTGTCCAAGCTGTTTAAAGGCACAGTCAACTTAGTGTGTTACTTCTGACCCACTGGAATTGTGATACAGTGAATTATAAGTGAAATAATCTTTCTGTAAACAATTGTTGGAAAATGTACTTGTGTCATGCACAATGTAGATGCCAAAACTATAGAAATTTGTGGAGTGGTTGAAAAACGAGTTTTAACGACTCCAACCTATGTGTATGTAAACTTCCGACTTCAACTGTACATATGGACGAGCAATGACAGAGCGGCATGAACTAAGATACAGTAGAATATTATAGAATACAGTATATACACATATGAGATGAGTAATGCAAGATATGTAAACATTATTAAAGTGACTAGTGTTCCATTTCTTAAAGTGGCCAGTGATTTATAGTCTGTCTATAGGCAGCAGCCTCTAATGTGCTAGTAATGGCTATTTAACAGTCTGATGGCCTTGAGATAGAAGCTGTTTTTCAGTCTCTCAGTCCCAGCTTTGATGCACCTGTACTGACAGGCAGTGGCTCGGGTGGTTGATGTCCTTGATTATCTTTTTGGCCTT